GCGACAAAATCGTAGGAATAAAGAAAACCACTAGGAACGTTTACCTAAAACCACCACACCTTTTGAACTCAATATTAGGAATTTTCTTCCAGTACACTAAATTAATCCAATGGCATTCCAAATTTATCTCTATAAATCACTTGGCTTTATTATAAAGGCCTACCTCTAAACTTTAATTTTGGTCTTCTTGTTCACTATTTGTTTACGTTGTTTATTCACTCTCACTGCAATATCTCGCCTAGCCTATGTCACTTTATACTAATTATAATATGTTCTGTCTAACCAAATTTGATATTTAATTGCAAATATTTAGAGACATGCTCCAATCAGACCTATCCACTTGGAATGGAAGATGGAACCATCCCTGACGAAAATCTTGATGCATCCAACGACGCCCATGAAACCCGCTATGCTAGACTCAATCAAGAATCACCTAAACGTGGTTGGAAACCAAGAGATCACCCTGGGGAGTGGATTGAAGCTGACCTCAGTGTTGTCAAAACGATAACTGGAGTTACCACCCAAGGTTGCTATGATGAAAATAAATGGGTAGAAGTGTATGAAGTTCAGTATAGTACAGATGGTCAAGAATTTGCTAATGCAGTGGGACCGGAGGGCAATGTAAGTTTCCTTAATCATCTCTCGTCTTATTTAATCATATATTTGATTACAAGTTTTATATTCCGTTTTTTTTTTCAATATATCCATGATTTTTACATCTACTGTCTCATTACTTGTGATATCTGATCAGATATTTGTAGGAAATATTGATGCTGAAACCCACGTCATTAATCTTTTTACGAATCCTGTTCTTGCTCAATTCATCCGCATTGTTGTAGTCGAATGGAATAATGATATCTGTCTACGATTTGAAGTTCTTGGGTGTACAGGTAATCTTTTGTCATATTTAATAATTTAAATATATGAGTGCATATAATTCATATATACAGATGTATGAAGTAAATATGTATTCACTCAGTATCCATTAAACCATATGTCATCATTTAAGCAAGTGGGTTAAAATAGTTTGTATATCGTTTTATGGGCATTGTTAGTGTTTGTGAGACATTAAAGAAAGATGAAGGAGTCGATTGACAGATTTCTAAATGAAATGTTACGAAAGGAGACTTGCCATCAGACAGAAATATAAGAAATGCAATGGAAGGATATGGAATATAAAAAAAAGAAATGAACGGGAAAATAATACAAGGAAAGGAAAAGATGACTTATTATGTCACAGTAACCTTTGATTCTCAGGGTTCCCAGAGATGATTAGAAAATGAATGGATGTGCAAAATTATTATTGTTAATATAATTAAAGGGGTCCGTTGTATTGTTTCGAGAAAAATAATAAAGTCTATTGCCTATTGACATAATACATAGTACCAACCACTGCAGCACATACTACTCTAGCACCAACCACTGAAGCACCGACCACTGAAGCACCGACCACTGAAGCACCAACCACTGAAGCACTTACCACTGAAACATTGACCACTGTACCATTAGCAATTGAACAACTAACTCCAGAACCAGCCGGTGGTAAGCCATTGTAATAATTTAAGCATGGAGAAGTCTAGTTTCGAAATTTTATTTATATAATATTTATATATGTGTATATATATATATATATATATATATATATATATATAAATCAAGAGAGCCGTTAACACTGTTAAATTATATATAAACCATCATATATATATATGTATATTATAGTATCCGATGTAGTTGG